CTCCCAACCAGGTTTTCGTGAAACGCGGAATGGCGCACGACCAGTCGAGAAGCCCGGTGAACTCGGCCCATGCACCGTGTTTCCGTGGCAGATTTTTCTGATGTCGAAAAAGTATAAAGCCACTAAAATTCTTTTCACAGAATAAAATAAGCTCTTATTTCTCAAGTGGGCATTCGGGTTGAAGCTAGTGAAGTGCCATCAGATCAGTCGAAATGTAAGTTAAAATGTCCTTTTTTGCCCCTCCCCAACCGTAAACTACCAAAGTTGAAGGGAACCAATGGGAGGTCCGATAAAGGAAACAATAAGCACGATGTAAGAAGAGCGTCAATGATAGGTCGCGTTCTGTAGCAGACTTTTTGAGCCAATAGTAGAGAGCCTTGAAATGAAATTCGCACACGAAGTGGAGGAAAAACAGAAACATAACTAATATTTTAATAATTTCAGACTCTTGTTATAATGTACAAGTAACTGCCTGCATTGATGGTGTTGGGTGAAAATCCAACTCGCGAGGGGAGAGGGGGGGGGGGGCACTCCATTGTTTCTCCAATACTCAAGATAAGGATGAGAGCGCTCATGACACGTAATCGACTCATTTAAAGTATACTTCTGATAAGTATCGGTGTAATGTGGAAAACCCCTGAGATGCTTTCACATTTCCGCCTGCCATGGTCCAAGGGAACGGTCCTGGACCAGGAGAAAGGACACCTCCGCAAAGGGCTAAGGGTGCAGGAGCTCCAGGGTGGATCACCTGTGCAGAAAAGTGGATGGGATGTGGGCAGGTAGTGTGGAATGTAGGACATCCACCGGTCCTTATCAAAAGTACGCTCGAAATGAGTCGTTCACTTATTATCTTATCCGTAGTGTTCGATAGCCCAAAGAACTGCTCTCTAGTACTACGGATAAGATAGCAAAGGAGTGCCCCTCACCCCCCCCCCCCCTAACAGCATTTTCATCATGGTGTTGAATAGCCAAAGCCCAAGATAATGAAAATTTCAATTTCTTCATATTAACAAAGCGGAAGTATAGCTCAACGGATGCATTTATGAAGTGAACTGACCTTCAACAATCCACTTCTCGCGAGCTCTTCGACGATGATTCCTCTCTGCGACTCACATGCACTCTCAAGAGCTCTCTCCATATGATCACGAAATTCTTTCTGGCAACCCTTGAGAAGCTCCGAAAGGTTTTCCTTCTCGTTTAGGAGGAAGATAAACCTTAAAAATCATCTTTCTCAAACTAGGGGCCAAGTAATTCGAGTGGACCTTAACATTTCCGTCGATTCGTGAAGCAAACCTCAAAGGCAGCGATTACGATAAAGTGGAGCGCATCGGGGAAGCATATGCACCACACGAATCAGTTACTTGGCTGCCAGGAAGCGAGGTGTAGCGCTTTCACGACGAAGGTGCGCTGGTTGCTGAGCAGGACTTCGAAAGCACTCCGCCCCCAAAAGCGATCCGCCCACTAGTTTAGTTGGTGATTTGGACGAGCTGCGTTGCCAGCAGCGGCACAACTGGAGCAACTCGACTGGAGTATGGTTTGGCATGGTGTTACCAAACGCGTTGCGCTGAACTCGTTCATACGCCCGCTTTCTGAGCTGTCACCTGTTCATGAGTGAAAACCAACGGCCAAAAAAGGGGGTCCCATTTTGCATTTTTTGACGGATTTCTCCGCTTTTTCGCCACCGACGTACCATTGAGCACCACACGTCTCTCCAAATCCTTCTTAACCTATCGTAATCGCTGCCTTTAAGATCCATTTACTGTGTGTAAGGCGGTCAGAAATGACCAGAGAGCTCAATAGTTCTGAGAGAGTTTTATAAAAATGACAAAAAAAGCGATGGGAATATGAAAAAGTTGTGAATATTGAAGTGAGTCACAGCAGGGTAGCAATGTAGATTTGCTATCATGTAATCGGCGCAAAAGAACGAAATATCCTCAAAAGGATCAAGTAGTACAAGTGGTAAGGCGCCCGCAACACCAATGAAGCAAGGAACGCGAGTGAGCCACCTGTACAGGAAATTCGGCAGCCAATACTGCTCTACCCCATCTTCATCCACCCCCCCCCCCCAACCGTGGCCAATGATCCTACTCAGTAGAGAAAAGAGTGTGTCGGAACGTGGGGAGGAGTAAAGTTCCATGAAGTACCGTAAGCCCCCTACAGCTCGATGAAAATTCTCGGTTATCTTTAAAATTCCCTACATGTTAGCCCAACACATCCCAAACCACCGCTGAAGCCAATCCTCAGTTCTTTCAAAAAGTCATCGCTGATCTCATTAAATAGGACTTCCCTCTCATTAATCCACGTGGAGAATTTCCCGAAATTGGGCATTTTAGAGCATTTTTCCATGGAGATCAGTCTTCAGTCGGTCTTACGAACTGGAGAGCACAATACACTGCGTTTCATAAATATAGGTCCACCCTAAATTTTTGCTACCCCGAAGTTGCTGTGCATTTTTTGAAAATGCTGCTATCACCATTAGATTCCTCATCACGGAAAACCTTTATAATGTTTTTCTGACAAAGTTCCCCCTTCAAGTAACCCAATTAACTTTTTCAGAACGAATTTTCACCGTTTCATGAATATCGGGCCACTCATAAAAAGTTTCCATTTCTCATGATCCGTGAAGGGAATCAGGGAAGCGGGGATATATGTGAGCTTAGTCGACGTCGAGTTTGCCATACCTCGTGTTTACTCGTATGCTGGAGAAAGCAACTGCCTCCCATGTCGGCCGGCTCATGATGCATAAGCAACTATGTGCGAAATCCCGGTCTGTGCGGGAAGAAGAGTAGCCTTGGTAAATAATGACAGCGTTTCATTGAAAATCAAGAGGAATTGGGCGTCTTCTGTCGAATTGGATAAGGCGTCCGAACAAAGTCCGTGCTGAAATGCGGCCTTCCGTAAGCAAAACCACCGTGTGTGAATAAGCCAGCAGAGCAATAACATCTTCAGCGGATTGATGAAGAGCGTTCCAAAGATTATTTGAGCGCTACAAGATCGCACGTCTCCATTTCTAGGTGGAAAAGGGCTCAAGTTAATGAACGAAGGTGTGGCTGCCAGGACCCTTCGTGATCTTGGACTCCACCTCCTCGTTTCATGCTACGGGTGATCTGGAATCGGCGTGAAAAAGTTTATTCTAAGTGGATCTGATGGAAAATGAGGGTACAGGAGGGTTCCGTGAAAATCGCAGATGGTTTTGAAGTAAGGTAATTTTGGCGGAGAATTCCTTATGGTTTGAGGCACCTTTGAACGACTGAGCGGCTAGAGCTCGTATTTGTTTCCTTTCACGAGGATTCCATAGGGTATCGTGAAGTTCTTCTGAAGCGACTTTTACCATCTTTTCGACAACAGCCCCTCGAACCTTGATTTTTACGCACGATAACGCGGCTGTCCATGCCGGTCCTTCCACGCCAGATGGAATTGCAGGAAAAAATGTGGCAGTTATCTGGTGGCCACCATGTTATCTGAATCAGATTCCAATAGAGAATCATTGGGCCTTAATTGTTATAAAGTTCCACAGCAAAGTAAAGCAAAATGGAACAGCCGAAAAGCTGAAAAGGTCGATCATCGGCGCCCAGACGAATTTCGATCCTACTGTAATAGCTAATTTGGCTACCAGCATTTCAAAACGTATTATTGTGTTCCTTATGATTATTGGGGGGTCATCCCATTATTGAAAATTCGTGACGTTTTTTCGTTATAGTAAAATCTCTCGACAAGTGATGTGTAGTCATATTTGCGAAACGGTGAAAATACGTTCTAAGGAAGATATTTTAATAATTCTGAATCGAGATTTCTCCAGAAATCAAGTATCAAGGTTTTTCGTTATGGGGAAACTATTGGTAATAGCGGCATTTTCCAAAAATGCACAGCAACTTTGGAATAGCAAAAATTAGGGTGGACCTATATTTATGAAACGCAGTGTATAAATTCGCTGTCTACAATTTTTACCCTACCTTTCCGAGTGCAACGCTGACTGCAGCATGGTAATCTTCTCATCTTCAGCCTCTCTAACTAATACGATATGGTAAAAGTCGATCGCAGACTGGTACAATTGGGCTCGTAATCGTAGGAGACGCCTGCAATATAGAATCGGATTGACCTCAGCATGAAACCACCGACACGACTTTCGCTCCAACATTCTGCAGCCAAGCTGTCACAAAATGTGCAAATGACCAGAAAATGTAATACTATAGTTTCATTTTGACTCACAATGCATTTACAAGGTTTAGAAAGAAAAAATAGCACTCCCCTCTAACTCACTTGAGTGGGTAATCGGTAAGCATCATTGCCACGTCAAAAATAGCCTCTGTAGGGAATAATTGGGCAACTTGTTCGACAAACGCAGGAATTCTGAACCATCACAAATTGAGATCATAATTAAAGACTGGACCGAGACCACTTTTTCTATGACTCACCCTTCCACACATTTGCTCATCTCTTTCGATAAACCAGCCTGTGACAGGGCATCAACCAGAGCGAACCCTTCTTGACATAATGCCAAAGATGCGCAGAACCACTCGTCGATTAAGTGAGCAGTTCTGAATTTGATCGGACCATCTGAGGCGTAGAATTCATCCATCAATCGACGTGCATCCTTCTCAAGATCTCCGGCGCACTAAAGATTCGAGTAAAAATTGAAGTATGTACAAAGCCAGATCATGGATAAGCATTACCTTTCCTAGCTCCATACAGATTTGTCTCAGCTCAAAAGATACGCGATGGTCAAGTAACGAGTGTTTCTTGATCACCTGTAACATAACTCCATAAATTCCTATTTCTTAAAGCTGTGGTTTAAGGGATTTCCCTCTAACAGGCACTACCCTTTCATGTGATGGAACCCATTTCGAAGACAGACTATAAAATTTAATTCCTCACCAGTTCTACTGTAGTCGTAAGGAGGTACGAAGAGCTACTAATTAAAAAAAATCGTTCGACATCCGTTTAATTCAAATTGACCAAACATATGAAAGAAACCAAGCTCGGAGTGATTTAGGTTTTGGTAGGCCTGGACGAGATTCGATTTAAAACTTGTCCCTCGAAACGAAGTGCTTGGTAAGGTTAACGACTACATAATCTCCGCCTTTGAGAGTGAGCATTTTTTAACGAATACTTGTGTCAGTAGTACTTACTTCCACCATGACTTGATTATATTCAGCGAAGAAAGAGATGGAACAAGCCAGCCGTTTGGAAGAGAATATGCCACGTCCACGAACAATTTCGATGAACTCCTTTTCAGAGAATTCTGGGTCCTTAAGTGAAACGTTTCATTTATAAACAATTGGATTGGATACTTGGTAGGAGAATGACCGTTTTCTTATTCAGCACAGCGATTCGAAGAAAAAGCGCGAATGTCGAATAGTAAAGGCGCCAGGCCGCTTTCGAAACTGCTGGATCCCAATCAAATATCAGCCTATACTCATCCAATTCGAACTGCCTGAAAAAACCCAAGGTCAAGAATATTCTTCAGAGCTAAATGAATAAAACAAGAAAATTCCAATACCTAGGAAGTGCCTCCAGCACCTGATCGAATGCAGTCATAATTTTAGGATCGTAGACTACGGTACTCCAGAACTGTGCTGATGGGAGTTGAAGAATACGTTCGAATGTGAATGCCAACGTATTTGCCGCGTTTTGCCAAGCGCTCAATTCTGTCCTGGGTACGCCGTAGGCCAGGCGAGAGATAGAAGGGCATGTAGAGGGAACAACTAGCGACTCAGCCTAAATTCACTGATTTTTTTTCTAAATATTTTATCACAGCACATGTCAAAGGATTAGCACAAGATCAAGCAAAATGCGTTACGCAGCACTGATATTACCCACATTGGGTCCAAACCATTTTTTAGTTGGTCTGCACACACATCTTCACGCAAAGCCCTTCTCCATTATATCCCATTTTTGGCAAAGATGGACGGATGGGCAGAGCCATTTTGATGGGGTGGAGACAATCTGTGAAGAAGCCTCCATTTTCAACCGTCCCAAAACCCTTCGACCATTTCACAATATCCCGAGAGTCTACAGAATGGACTATCAGCCAAATAAGAACAGCTCATCTCTACAGGTGAGCGCACTGCAGAAATGGTGCATCTTATTTCTCCTTGTGTTCCACGCTTATTTTGAAGGTCAACAGAGATATTTACGGCTACTCCAGATACCCCTCAAAATTCAAGACGACGTCTTCTCAAAGTTATTTAGCTCGGCATACCAAAATGTGTCATTGTCGCCACCTCTATCCGGCTATTTCAGTGATTTTATTTTAGAATTCATAAAACATTGCTCCGTACAAACAAAAAATTCACGACCCACGATTTCAACAGATGGAGACGGGGGGATATATTCATGAAAAAACAACAAAAAATGAAAAATGATGAATATCTCACCAATTTCATTGTCGTAAGAAAGCTACCAACGACGAAGTCCTGGGAGCCGAGCCTTGACAGAAAAGCTAACGAAAGCCTGAATAATGGACTTAGAACCGAAATTTAGTTTAAACTCCCAGGTAAAAATAAAAGGATAAAAGATCCATTTAGGCAATATACTAACAAAAAAAATGAGCAATTTTATTACATATATCTAGGAAATTGTTCAATTGAACACATAAAACAAACTTTCAAGACTCTCAAACAGAACAATTCAACAATATTTCTGCTGTACACAACGAATGATAATAACAAGGTAATCAATATCAATAATTTCAACAACACAATTTCAACATGTTTAACTGTAAAAGTAGAAATCGAAGCCTTTATAGAACAACAATGGCAGTGGTTGCAACCTGAACAGTTACAGAAAAAAAAGACACCAACGGGATCCTACAAGCTCAACTAACTGCGGAACCGCCATCCATATAGTTTTTGGACTCATGGACTGATCACTACAGAGAAAGGATCGGGTGCCGAATTACAGTCAAGTGAGGATGGCAACCAAGTATGGCCAATATTTTCATTGCGGCCACTTGTTGCCCTATTCTTATGGGCTTACCGAAGAGGTCACCACCATCTCGACAGAGTGCGGGTAAAGTGCCTGACACTCAGCCAAGCCCGCTTCTGTACCGAACGTACCTACTTCATATGGATTCTTCAAAAAAAAAAACAGCTGACCCAGACCAAGGCTACACAGAACATGGCGTCAGCAAAGCGCACGGCAATGAAAGGTACAAATGTCTCTTACTTTGGTTTACAGTAAATTTTATTTCTACCCATCTTAGAAGATTTCTCTTCTAGTGGTGGCCACATCACCGTTACTGTACCGTGTAATGATTCCGGTAACCAGTCTAAATACTCCCTTCAAGCAAGGTAGTTTCTCGTTTTTTCTTGAACTCTTCAACAAGAGCAGCCTTGGAGTGAACCTTAACAAATGCGAATAAGGACAAGCAGAGAAAAACGAAAAGGGAAAAAAGGAAGACTGAAGGACATGAAGAAAATCCCACCTCTTTCAGTACCAAAGCATTAAGCAGACCCTCTGTACGCTTTTGCAGTTTCGCCCACGATCGGACCATTGTTGTGGGTGGCGCTAACATTTTTGTAACGAACTGGGCTAGCAATGGCATTACCTTAACGAAGTACTCATCATCACTGACTAAGCTTAAAAAGACCTTGCGAAACCAAAATAATCTTTACCTGTCCTGCTAGGAGGAACTGAGCGAAATACCTATACAGCATAATGTCATTAGGTATGGGTCGCTCAATAGGATCAAGGCGCCACTCCAGTGGACCAAATGTCACTCCTACACTCTTCACAATTTCGTCTCTATCTGCTTCATATCTGAAATCAGCAACATGTGGCCTGAAGCACCTTCACAAGAATATTTTGGCTCACCGTGGCTCCGTATCCTTATCCATCGGAGCAAAATTGCAATACGACTCAGCAAGCCTCGGTAGCCACTCATGGTCGACCATCATAATGCCCTGCATACACTTTCTGTCTCCTAACTGCACTATTTCCTGGTAAATGACATAATCTGGTTCGTCAGTATACATGACGCTGCATGGATCGATGAAAACGAACTCCTGAAAAACAATTGATCTAAAGATTAATCAATTCTTTGTTCTCAAGAATAAAATTAATGACTGTTTTCGAGCGAGTAGCGCTGTAGAGTTTATATTAGAACGATGTGCAGAAAAACCAGCAGCTATTTTTAAAAACATGATTTTAAGGAATCCTATGCACAACATTACCTGAAGTTTCATCGTTTGATATGCACCCTTTGGTACTTCTTCGTTGTCGGCTGACCGATCCACTCGTCGAGCGATGCGATCCGCTAGGCCAGCCACCATCATTTGCCTGAATCGCTGCGAATAACAACCGCCATCCCTACCAAAGGATTTAACATACCTCAACATTTGCGCTTGAGCATCAGATGGTGGAGGAAGGTGCGGATCCATCACGATATCCGCACTCGATTTGAACGATGTATTCACAATATTAGTTAATTGTAACGCGGAGTCGTCGAATTTCTACCATTGCTTTGTGCCTCAATCCCAGATTGGTACATGCTGATGGATTCATCTGCAAAACAATAATCACGTATTCAGAAATAAGAAAATATCTAAACTGTAGCAATTCAATTTCAACTCATTTTCCTTTCCAAATAGATATGTTTATATTTTACTTTTGTGCCCAACCTCGTCAAATTTCCGACATCTTTGCTGAAACGTACAACAACCAACCTTTTCTTCTTCGTAACAAATGACTGCTCTCATCAGAACAAGAAGATCACCCAGCCGACGCCCAGGGCCTTTAAATATTTTCGATAATCCTGCAAACGTGGACTTCACTAAAAAGTCACCTACCTTACCACACCATCCCCTTCGAAGCTTTAATACTGCGGTCATTTTCTCTTTGTTTCCTCATCAGTTTGTCCCCTTATCGACGAAACCGGCACCAGCGGCTCACGCACTGAAAGAATGAGCAAATATAAAAGAATTCTTTGTAACTCGTGACTGAAGCTGCCATCAACAAAAACAAGCTCAGCTTTCATCAGAGAATTTTATATATTACCTTCGATACTTTTCGATACCCTAATACGGCAATTGCAAAATTAAAACCTATTTTGAAAGCGATGCCCAAGAGACTCAACCATGAAACAGGAATTCAAATCAATATCTCTTTTCGGTAGCTGGATGGATGTCTTCCAAAAGGTTTACAAAATCTCAAAGACCAGATCGGCCAGTGAAATACTCACCAGAAAGCGCAGAAATGAGTAAAATCGCGTATGGCATGAGGTCATGCTGATTCGCCATAGCTATGACTTTCGCGTAAGCAGGTGCTAATGGAAACACTGACAGCGTCCTGCCCAATGGAGTAATACGAGCTTCTGTCTGCAAATGAAAAGCATCGCACTTTGGAAATAAACAGAAGAGCTTGCATACTCTATGTAAATGACAGAATGTACACACCTTCCCGTCTTTCGTGGTCTTCGCCAAAGCGCCAAGTTTGATAAGCCTTTCTTCAGCCACCTCCAGCGCTTCCGAGTCCGGTGGTGATGGAAACGGGAAATTTATCACCTGAATAGAGGTTAAAAAAAGATAATGTCACTGCTATACGTTGTTCTATTTTTTATAAGGGCAAAAACAACGAGTGTTGTAGACCGAGCTTGAGAAGAATTCGCAATCACCTTAACAATGTTCATCGATTTCAAATGCAACACAAGTTGATCCGCGGGTTTATCGAGGATTTCTGGACGAGAGAACTTCTCGAAGGTTTGGAAAACCGCCGAAGAATAGAGCCTCAAAGAATACATACTGAGCTTGCATGTTTAGCTCTTGATTATTCTCGACTACATTTTGGGATTACTGGTGATCATCATAACATAGGCGAATGGTTAGTACAGAGCTGTGTTGATTCGTACGCGGTACATTCACAATATAAGCGATTATATCATTCATCAGATCAGTTTCCTCATTTCGGTTTTCGTTAAATCAAATACCTGTAAGCATGGCCAGCTGCTATGCGACCCGCTCTTCCAGCTCGTTGATCGGCAGACGCTTGACTTATTCGATCTACGACAAATTTCGACACGCCCGTGACTGAGTCATACAGCCTGAAATACTTGAGAATTCCAAAATCGGGTACAAGGTAAACTAGTGGTGTCTTTCAATAATACTGCGCTTTTCCACCTATCTCAGCAATCTCTGTAAATATTCTTATGAAGCTACACCTTCTTTGGCCGCAAACAGCTTCTAAATTGGAAAAGAGACGGGAAAACTACCAAGTTTTTGGTCCGTGTGCGAATGAGCAAAGCGTTCATGCTTCTCCTATTTTAATTGCTTAGAGCAGAAATATAATATAATTGAGTATCGGTATTGACTCGAGACGAATTTACGGTTTGAGGTAAGCTTGTCTTTGGCCGGTAATCGTAAAGCCAAGGTAAGAAATAGTGTCAGCCGGACATTTAGAAGGGAAGTTCGGAAGGGAGAGACACCAATCCACAGTGAATCGCACAAAAATTGAGAATTTGACATTTAATTAGAATTTAAAGATAACAAAAAAACCAGAAGTAAAACAAAAGCGGATAAATTCTTACCTGCGCTTCTCAAACCCGCAATCCACCACGTATTTCACGCCAGGAATAGTTAAAGATGTTTCAGCTACATTCGTTGCAATCACACACATTCTACAAGAAGTAATGTAAAAACACCAATAGACGACTATTGGAACAAATAAACAAAACCTCGTGCCCTCTGGTGGTGGCTCAAACACACGACGCTGTTTTTCCGAGGACAATAAGGAGTACAACGGCAAGCAGTACAGAGGAACACAAGTAGCAGGTGGAGCCGGCATTGGAATGTTCTGAAACCACACCGAGAAGTGCTAATACCAAATAAACCAGCATCACTCAAAAAAGTAAGTACCCAGAATGGAGAACAGGAAAAATAAAACAGTACCAGAATTCGAAACATACCAGCGCATCTTCTTGACTGTCATCTTCTGCGTCATAGTCGTCCCATAAAGTATCACAAGCGCCAGTTTCATGCAGATCCTCGCCATCGAAGGAATGGGTTCGCTTAAAATGAACAGCTCAAAAGTGTATAAACCTCGTTTGCAGAAGAGGGTTGTATAAATAGAAAGTATACAAGAAAAGCAAAGAATAATTGATAAGACTCTCACATCTTCACCAAAATCCTCTAGTTTCAGATTTTGCGCCTCTTCTAGTTGCTTCTTTTTCCATTTCTTACTGCCTTTTACGTACACATGACCATCCTTGCTGGAGTCATATTGTATCTAAAATTCTATGAAATAGGGAACTGTGGAAATCACATTTCAAGGGCGCAATCAAAACTTGAAATACAGAAGACTGTTTCTGAAATATTCTTCCAAGTGCTTTTTCCCCAGAAGAAGAGGGAGAGTGATTAACTATTTTTTGATATTTTTCGAACAGCTTCACTTCAGCAGTAATGAAAACTGTGCAACATACTGTATATCTTTCAACGAGCTTCTTCACTAAGTGTCGGACCTCCTGTTGGCCACTGACGAAAACCAAGATTGCACCGTCAGGTAGAGCTTCATGTATCCGGCATACCTATAAACAATTATGTTTGCACCAAAAAATAAAATACGATGTCCGAGCAGGATGGACAAAATTAAAGCGCTTTGATACGAGTAGCTGAAACTAACAGGCCCCTGATGTGCAATGCACATCATATAGGTGACCTTCGTAAGCTATCCTCTACGGATCCCGCTCTGAACGTCGACCGCGAAAAAAAGACACACACGAAGACATCAAAAGAGAGAGTATGGAAAGTACTAATTTAGCAAGAGGCACAGTAAACGACAAGAAAGTGTTTAGGGCAGATTAAACTAAAAATACAAAAAAAAGAAAGCCTTAAGAAGCGGAAGGAGTCAGTCAAAAGCAACCGCTGCCTTGAAAAAATACTAGGCAAGTAAAGAAGTGAAATGAGAAGTAGTTTTTGAACCAAACAACGCACATGAATATCAGAAAAAAAAAAGCACCTTTCTGAAAGTAGCCATCATATAGTCGTCGGGAGTGCGCTTCTCAAAATGCACCGTGACTGGAAATTGTCGTGACTCCACATTTATCACTTTGGGTTCCAAGACGGGAAATAATCTTAATTCAAAGAAGGTATAAATAATCAAACAACCATGAGCATGCAAAATGAAAGCAAACCTTTTGTGAATAAAATCTGCTAATCGTAGTGTGGCCGACATAATTATCAACTTTAACGGATTCGACGTTTTTGCTCGCAGAGGCGCTATCCTACTCAACATCCCAATCAAGACATCACTGTACATTGACCTCTCATGAGCCTCATCAAAAAAGCTTTGACAGCGCACTCTCTCCAGAACTTTGTGAAAGTGCAACTCATTACAAATTCATTGTGATCGTCCCACCGGAGAACGACCACGACAAAGCGTATACCGTATGAAATATTTGGAAACCTTCTCATCTATTGATATGATAGGATTGAAAAATTAGTATGATAGTTACAGGCTCACTTTTTCAGCATTACATCAGATTCCATCTCTTTCATCAGCACACCATCAGTCATGAATAGTATCTTCGTCTGAGGCGTGCGATTTCCTTCATATCGTATCTTAAAAACAAACCGCATGATTAGCTATAGGATAACTCCAAAAACAAACTTGACTTATAAAAAAACATCAACCTACTTGATATGAAACTGCATCCGGTGAACCCAACTCTTCCCCAACACGTTGCGCCATGGATATTGCCGCTACTCTCCGCGGTTCAGTTATGCCAATCAATTGACTATTGCTTGCATACCTTAAAAAGAAGAACGGAACTAAGCCACCCAGCGAACTGAGAAAGAATCAAAAGTTCTGAATACTCTTGAGATGACCTGGTTCTCGAAAAACTGCTCCCAGTAATCTCTTGAACGAACAAGAAATGGAATCATATATCGAAAAAACTGACCCTGCTTCATAAAGGAATTGAGGTATTTGTGTAGTTTTTCCAGAGCCAGTCTCACCACATATAACAGTGACCTTAAATAACGGAAATGGTAGCGGAATTCTTTGTATGAATACGAATCTAATACCAAGCAAAACAGTATGCCTAAGCCGGAAAGCACACGCAAAAAGCGAAAAATAAACGGGCTGAAAACTTCAGCTCACAATATTGTCGTTGATGGTCTCCATAATGGGCACTTCTTCTGAATATATAGGCAACTGTGAGCGTTTGCGTTCAATTTCTGTATCTCGGGCGACAAGTACTCGTTGTCGTTGGATAGAAGCAGGCCGTGGTTGATGGGTTACATCATCGTCTGCCTCTGTTTTTATTTCCTGAACAGAGAAATATATTATCCAAAAAGACAGAACTCAAGGGACAGCATCGCTCAGTAACTAATACCTGGGCGGAAACCGGAACAACTCCATTAGTAGCCATGGAACATGTAACAGGTTTCTCTGTGCCAGAAGACAAAGATGGCTGCAAGAATAGCGGCAATATTACAGATAAGGACAACATAGTTGATAATTATAAGTTTTGGATATTAGCCAAAGTATTTTTTACCTGCGCCGAAGTTGGACAGTCCTCCACAACGGATGCGGTGTTTTCTTTTTCTGTAGCACCTGTCTCGACCTTTACTTCAGCGTCGTCTACTGTCGAAGTTTCTAACGGAGCGGAGGATGAGGATGGCGTAGTATCGCAGACCTAATGTGTGCACATTTGCGTAAAACAATACATCAACACATTCCAATAGATGCAGTAGCTCGAACGCGGACTGATTTTATGTTAGTGACAAAGAGATCTAGAAAGGCAGACTGACAAAGGTATTCCAGCCTACCAATAACTAGCTATCAGTAGCGAAGAAGAGATAGGATGCCATATGAGTCTACAAACTATGATGGCTTTTTAAGCTTAACCGTCCCGTCCAAAATCGTACTTGTTTCCTTCAATTAGCTGAACCTTTTCATAAACTTACTGCGACTTCATTCTCCTCACTTTCGCTTTCGTCAGAATCTTCATCGTCAGTGGGATAGTAATTCTCTTGAACGCGTCCTTTTTGGTGAATAGTGGGAGGAAGCTTCACTTTCGATGAGCATACTTTTATTCGGGATGGAAAAGTGTCAATATCGTCATCATCACCGTTGTGAGCACTGGAATAACAAGTAATTTTTCCTTAGACCATAAGCAAATGTAAAGACAAAAGCACAAAAGGCTTTTAATGCTGAACGTTCAAGCATAATAAAATCGTATCGGGATGCGCCAAGTGCGATTTGGCCTTTATAATAGAATGCGGGAGCCTGTTTTTAAATTCTAGACAAGTCAATTACCAATCAACAGACTTCGGAACACTGGAAGGGTTGGTTGGCTTGGACTTTAGACGACCCAGAGGATTCGGTCCCGATCCGCACGCGTGGTAAGTGTGGTTAAGCGAATGTTCTGAGCACAATAGCGAGAGTTTTGTGTCCAATCGCACCGCATTTGCTCGAAATTGAGGACTGTGTATCATACAGTAAACAGCCCCTTACGCACCGGTACCCGCTTCTACACCGTTTCTTCGATCTATTGGAGGAAGCCTGTCAGCTTTGATCTAGCTAAGCTAGAATAGCTAGTAAACAGAACGAACCTCTTTATTTTGTCCTGCATATGACTAGATGAAGAGAGTTGGCTAAGCTTCTTCGGATCCAGCTGGTACTCACGCTGGCAGACTCGGCTACATACAGCTCTTCTTAGCGCCTTAAAAATTGCACAAGTAGCAAACCGAATATCGCAAGGTTTAATCCCTACAATGCCCTTCATGTGACTTTGAGTATAGTACACATTGACGGTGTTGATGGCAGAGGTCTAATCTACGAACAAAGGAAAAATAGCCAACCGTTAGTTTGTTCGCCTTTCGCTGTTGGAATTGCTGCCAACTGTCTTTTCTTCTTCTTCGTAATTTTCTGCTTCTCCCTCTCCTCCTTGACGAAATTTCTTGTCCCTTTTTCCCCGCCTGTGCGCACTTTTTTTCTTCGGACAGAGTGACCCACTCTACTCCTCTGTACTTTCCGCACTGTTTTGCCATCGAAAAAACACAGAACTGCCCATTTGTACCATGCTCTTTTAACATTGTAAATGTTTCGACAATGTAGTTCCAATTAGCACTCAGGTGAGATCAGCGAAAAACATGGCCACAAAAAAGTTTGGACAAAGGCCATATATATCTTCCAACGTTTCTTAAGGTACGACACTAACACCTCATGAAACAAATCATCGAAGCTTTCTGATACTTTGATAAATACCTCGAATGTCCTAAACTTTTTCTTAGACGAAAACAATGAGGTCAAAAGAATTATTTTCTGGCGCAGAACACTCTACCGAATGAAGCACACAATGAAATTTCGAACTATCCTGGAAGAATCACTAATTGATTAGAATCATCAGCGTTGGGCAAAGGTGCAGTGGGATCGTAGAGAACCTGGTTGGTAATTGTCATTTCCTTTTATTGAAACTGAACCATTCGCCGTAATCCTACAATAAAGAACAGCTTCGATTTCCCCAACGGTGCTTCCAAAAATGTCATAAAATACAGAACCAGAAAGTTGACCAGAAAGAGTTTTGCGACTTAATAGTTCAAAGCCTTGTGCCAGTAAATAAGGAGCCTTCAAAAAAAGCCGTCAAATACGAAACAGTGATGCGCCTGCACACAACGCGCATATTTTGAGATACCGTACTTTTGAATGCACTTACGAGTGCCTACGACAAGGGTCAAGGAGGAGAAGGTAGGAAATGCTCTCAGTCATGCCACCCCTGAACCTGCTGGACTTTCACTATGATACCAGCGGCTCAAACCCAGCGCGCGTCAGCCAAATTTCTACAGATGATTAGTTGTTGCTAGGAGCGACTGTTACTACACAAAACACATCGATAACTTGTTTCTAAAAAAGTCGTAGTCTAAGGGTTAGGTCCTTGTTCCCTCTTATGTTGAACTAATGTATAAGGAACAAAGAATTCAGAGCCCCACTAATGCAATACTTCTATGCCCTTGACCCTGTATTCTATTGAATGAACAAATTGTTCTACTTTGTGCGGTGAACATTTCTGAGTTTTCATGATGTGCCACACAAACACAAGATTCCCATCCGATGGTCGAGTGATTTTGTACTTCTATCTGGCTTACACAGTGAAATTTGGAACACTGTACATGATACATGCTCCCAGATGAACCTGATACCTCATTTGGTCCCTGGCAGGGCTTGTTTACCCACGGTTAGATTTCTCCTGGAATCGAGCCATGCGTGCAATAGAGTTGTGACGTTTACATGACGTCTTCAAGATGGACCTCGTTTACATAGATTGTTCCCACTATAGCGGTAGGCAGTACCTTGCTAATTGACTCCTTTCATGCTATGTTGTGCATGTTCATGTTTAGCTATACTGTACTTGAACTGCATAAATTGCATATATATTCTGTGTACATATTCCATGTATTTTCCTCCATAAAACAACTCCACATGAAAACATCGCGACTGGGTTACTGTACTTGGCCTAACTGTGAAAGAAACAATTTGTGGGGAATGCTAGACTGGTGGACGTCACAGAAGACGTAGAGCATAAAATATTCTTCTGTGGCAGCCTCATAAGTGACTACAAGAATAATAAAAAACGCGAAACCCTTTGAGATACGCCGTGCATTCGATATTCGTTCAGAACCGGATAGAACTGGAATGGTGATCTGACCACTGCTCCAATCTTTTGTAGAGATCGCCTTCGTAGCAGGGTCACCCTATCGTTGTTACTTTTTGAAAAATTTTTACGACCCCCCTCCCCCAAGGTGGATTTGATACGACCCCCTTTTCCACACCTCGACCACCATCATCCTCTCTATAGTATTTAATTCTGGTACCACTCAACCCACCAAACTCCGCCCACTTTTTCCTCCAAAAATGCCGTCGAGCGGGGGGGGGGCTACTCTGAAACAGTAAAAATTTTCCAAAATTCCCTATAATTTCCTACCATTTTACCCTACTTTCCTACTTTTACCCAGTTTTACCTATATTCCCACTGCTTCCTTTCCTAGGGGGAGAGGAGGGTAGGGGAGGGAAGGGGGAAAGGGAGGGTGGTATACGCGCGCTGAAACGGCAAATTTTTTCCTGCGCTCCACTCACCCAGCCTACTACCCACGAAAACTTAGTTTCACCTCAATCTCCACACGTGATTTCGAGCGACTAAAGTGGGTACGACCCCCCTCCTACAAACTCAACCAGGTACGACCCCCCCGTTGTTACTCGTAACAACGTAGGGTTGACCCTGGGTGGCGTGTAGCTTTTTTTTGGGTGTTAACATAGTTGAGGAAGTTAAGGAGGGGGAATGACGCGCGCGGCGACGCGGCGCTTTGTTCGTCTGCACCTCTGAGGCTTAATCTGGCTTGTCACTGAATTTCCCTGCCACGGTGCGGCTAAACAGTAATGGCCCTCATGATTAAGCCTTAAACAGAGCGCAGCGCCGCCGCATGTTCCCCTCAAATAAGTTAGCCTGTAGAAATCATTTCTGTCTGTGAAGTCATACGAAAGACGATGGGTAAATTTGCTTCAAGGACCACGAAGATGACGTCGACTCTCCTTTCCGCCTGTTATTGTGCCTTCTTGACTCTATAATTAGTGCTGTATGGTTGAACGCCTTTTCTTTTTCAGAGTAAACAGCGACGAGCATTCTTTTTACTTTTCAACACATCACTGACCATGTTTTAATTTCGCACTGAAAGTGAAGTTTACAAGAAATGCGTGTGACATGTTGTTTGGCTGCCTGGCACAGCATTTCGGCCAAAATTAGAAATTTTCTCCCGGAGCTCATGGATCACTACCATATCCACTTTTTCTAAACTATGCGTAGTGTCATTACTCTTGCGCGTTCAATGAGCACTTGGATGAATAGATTGAAATATGATAAGTAAATTTTATCTTCCACAAGCAGTTCCTTCTCCCAGCAATAGAAATCAATCACAGCACTAGATGACTATAATGTGCCATCATATAAACCGTCAACTGCTTCTACAGTTTTCAATGTGAGTCAGTGGCATGGCGCATCCTCAACAGCTTGACCAGCGCTAAGCGCAAGTCGTTCCGATCTTCATGAGGCAAGAAATCGAGTTAGAATGGTCCCTCATGGTGTTACTTAAGCTACCGTCCAGGCTCTCATGTTGTCATGCTGATCACACGTGATAACGACTCATTACTGTGTGGCAGTACTGGTAAATAAAGCCATGGGAAGAGTGTGTTTGTAATTATTTGAACGAGTTTCCTCATGTGTTGTTTATTTGGTCACGCTCACATGATAAACATGTACGGAACTGTACAAAATTCAACAATTATGCCATATAATTATAATTACAAAGCAATGCAAAACCACTGTTGTGTCCCCCCCCCCCCCCACGGAGCAGGACCGCTTAACAATCTCGTCTTGCACAAGTACATTTGTAGAACACCACTCAGGTGGGTCTTCTGTTCAAATTTTAGGCACTTGAACAAGTTTCTCGGATTCGAAGCTAGGATCAACTGTAAAAAAAAGTCAAAAAAGATTGAGGAAACCCGCTTCCGAAGGCGCATTTCACGAATGTGGAATATGGATGGCGATGATCAGAAATAAATTTGTAGGCGAAAAGAGTCTGCTTATGGCAAAGAGATCAAATGTACCCTAAATACCTCCCTTTTTCCACTCTGGGCATGGTAGCTTACGCTGAGAAATACAATGCGCCAGGAGAGAGATAAGGCGTCGCGGAGATGAGAGAACAAACACAAGAGCGAGACG